TTAGACAGATGAGTCCTTGAAAAACTGTCTGATCTTATAGGGGTATTTCTAAAGTTCCCATTACTCTAGTTACGATGCAGGTTATAAACACAAACTTACACGATGAGCAATTAGATCCTTGCAGACGTTCAGCGCCGTTTTGATGGGATTCGGGTCCATAAGCATGGAATAATCATGATACGTAACTCCTCGAGGCACATACTGGTCTTTGAAGTTCAGATTCTGTAAACAATTATTCATTAAATAATTAATACCTCTGTGTTTCTTTTTGATAAAAAACCGGCTCACTTTTGTTATTATTACTTAATATGCGAAATGAGGATATTGTCATTGTGTGTGTTAAATTAAAACGAGTCTGCCTAATGGGAGCAGTCACATTGTTATGTTCTGAGTTATGCTCAGTTACATAAATTAATTACAACATATGTTGTGAGTTTAACTTAAAATCGAACTGTCTTCTGCATTTGTTACAGAGACTGTCTTGATCTGGCGAATCGAGCTTTCTTGTACTTGTGTGCGCGAGAGATCGAACGTTTGACTTTTTTCCCGCGTACTATGGTATGGTACACAAATACGTAACAGTTTATTGGCTATATTGTTTTCACATTTAAACGTACTTAGTGGTACTTTCCAATAGCAGTACCTACGTACCACCATTGTATTAGATCAGACCCTTCGCATTTAAATTATAAACCACTGCATACTACATCATCACCATGAAGTCATAAGCAGTCAACATCTGAATATAGACCTCTGATTCCAGATAGGCCTGTTGGAAAACCCCACAGAAAACCGACGTGAAGCAACGTTTGCGTTGTGTTTCGTCCTGTGAGTGAGGTAACTGGAGGCCCATTTATCGCCTCCCCTTCCCCAATTCCTGAATCCCCAACAATCCTCAAACTCCTAATCCCCAAAAGGCCGGTAACGCACTTGTAACGCCTCTGGTGTTCCAGTGATCTGTCTGCTCGTTTACCAGCTAATGCTATAAAAAAACAACTAGCATCAAGCGACTCCTTGCGACTTTAATCTAGCTAGGTCGTTATTCACCTTGTGGGGGTGGTGATCCTGTGCTTGTAATGTATTACTTACCGATATAGTATCCTTATAGAATGCAATAGACTCGTTGCTGGATAGGACTCCCCCAACGTTGTAGTAGGTGGGGTTAGAGAAGCGGCGCCTGTCTATGTCTGCCGCTGCCAACGTCCCGCACCACACCACCGCCAACAGGACGTGGTGAGTCCACATCTTGGACTCTAATGGAATATTTTTAATATGGTCAGAGAGTCGCTAAGTATATATATATACATTCTTTTAACGTCCTTGCTTACATACATAAGTTCAGTATAAAGTAAGTATATCTTAACCCAAGGCCGAACTTACTATTATAATCTCTGAATTCCTTTCTACATATACAAATGATTGTATAGTTCATAATAATGCTTTTCATTAATGAGAAAGTATAAGTTTATACATAAGTATATTACTATGGAAAGTTTCATCTACTTCTATTCTACCAATTTTTAATATGTGTTGGTATTTGGGACTTGGGAGTGCGTACCTCAGTAAGTCAGTATATGGAGAATGGAGGCTATGGAGAACATAAAATTTTCACCAGCAGTCAAAGCCGCGGGTTACAAGCTAGTATGAATGATAATATTACGAGTCATGCATGACATAACTTTTTTGCATATACGTATTTGCATGTACTACATATTACATTTGGCAATTTACCAAATCTTACGTTATGTATAGTTTAAGGTTTATGGACAACAAATAGCTTCGCGCCTGCGCTATACTTGACAAAACAGATTGATGAAACCTAACCGATTACAAGTTAACATACTTATAGTACGAGATCCGGCTGCAGAATCAGTGTACCAATCGAGTGTTTGCTGAAAACCAAATTTTTACACATATTCATGATTAGGAGAATTTATATCCACCAGGTTGCCTATCAAAATGTGGCCGCTAGTATTTTTAATTAAATTATTAATAATTCATAATCCGTAAGAAATTTCATTGACTTTTTTTTTCAATGAAATGTCGTCTACTTTACGGCAACATCTATAAAGACTCTGAAAAATTATGGTTGCCGTTGCGCACCTGGCCGCACCTCTTCGCAGCCAGGTATACACAGGTATGAATTTGTTACATTTATACACCCACAACGTACATTTATAATTTATATATCAAATTAAAGCAAATTTTTTTCTGTATATTATTATATACGGTTGCTTAATTAAATCTGGCCGCCAATAAGGGTTGCTGGCTAATAAATATAGTAAATATTAAAAGTAGAGTGAAAGAGAGCTAGCGCGTAACACCACTAGTCACTAGGTACGACTCAAAATAATAAATACTCCAAAAGAAACGTCTTTCTTTTCTAAAATAAAAAATTAAAAAGTCAATGACAAATTTAAAAATTACAAAAAAAATTAATATTGATGATAAATAAAATCAAGGTTACTTATGTAAAAAAATTGTGTTGTACAAGTACTGTATGAAAAAAGATTTAATTTTATTCAAGTATTACATTTATTTTACATATTCATCAATCATCAGTTTAAGCAAATTATAAATTTTTAAAATGTATTATATTTGTATTATACTTCCATGACTCTTTTTTAATAAAATGTCATGATATTTATATTTTTTCTTGCGACGAAACAATAACATTAGAGAACACTTTTTGAATGAAGCATTATCAAAGTCTAGTACATTGCATTTTTTGTCGCACAGGAAACACGCCTTCATCCTTATAAATTTTATTTCACTTAAATGAGATTAATAATTTTTCGATGCACAAATAAAACAGCAATATATTATGTTGTGTATTACGTACTCCAAACAGCGTGGTTTCGAACTTAAAATAAAAATCACAACTGATCCGTTGAGAACACTAACATCTGACGCATGCGCAATGGCTTTAAACCGTCCGACAGCTGGCAATCGCTATCCTCGTCTGACTAGTGGTGTTACGCGCTAGCTCTCTTTCACTCTACTTTTAATATTTACTATATTTATTAGCCAGCAACCCTTATTGGCGGCCAGATTTAATTAAGCAACCGTATATAATAATATACAGAAAAAAATTTGCTTTAATTTGATATATAAATTATAAATGTACGTTGTGGGTGTATAAATGTAACAAATTCATACCTGTGTATACCTGGCTGCGAAGAGGTGCGGCCAGGTGCGCAACGGCAACCATAATTTTTCAGAGTCTTTATAGATGTTGCCGTAAAGTAGACGACATTTCATTGAAAAAAAAAGTCAATGAAATTTCTTACGGATTATGAATTATTAATAATTTAATTAAAAATACTAGCGGCCACATTTTGATAGGCAACCTGGTGGATATAAATTCTCCTAATCATGAATATGTGTAAAAATTTGGTTTTCAGCAAACACTCGGTGGGTACACTGATTCTGCAGCCGGATCTTAGACTATTAATTCTCATTTAGTAGGTTTCAATATAAAGTTTCAGTTACAAATACAATGGTATAATTAAAAAGTGAAATAATTGCGTTACGTTAAGAATGTCAGTAGATTAAAACCGTTTGTTAATTATCTATGCCAGAAAGTCGTCGCTTAATTTTTTTTAAACCGCAAGATTCTTACGTGCCTGTTATTATACATCTGAAACGTATCTATTTGTTCGTACCTAGGTATTTCAGTATAAAGATATCTCTTGGATATTTCGTATAAATCGAAATAATTTGAGAGAAAACAATGACAACAAAACGGTTCTTCATTCAATAATACAGATTCTTTATCTCAACATTGATTCACTGTTACAAAATAATTAGTTAAACATGTTACAAACGAACTAAATTCCCACTTCAATAAAGTGACTATACTAATTACTAACGTAAGGCTTAACTTTAGATTGCGTATGAATATTTCAGAGTCCTCCATTTTGCCAGAATAGGACACCCTTCCTGAGTTTGTAAACATATGGCGCGAATATAATCACTAATCTTACCTTATTGTCCAGAAGTTAGGCTTTCAGTCGTCTCATGTTTGTTGTTATATTTAGAAAGGTGCAAAACAATAGGAATTAGGAGCTACGGAAGCTGGATGCTGTAAAAACACGATCTTCGAAACTTCATCTCCTGTCGTTCGCAACGCGCAGGCGTGGGATCAAATCAATACAGAGGGAATGTAGAGCAAATATTATTTCTAGTCATAATATTTCAATACTACTTATTATTTTTATTATTCTACAATTCTACATATACATATTACGCATTAACATTAAGTAGTAAGTGTCGTTACTATTTGCTATACACAAAGCACATAGTTCATTAATAGACATTATAAATTATTTTTAAATAAACTCTAATAATTTTTACCTATACATTATAATTAATGACAATAGAATAATAGATCAATATGGCAATAGGCTTATGCCTATAACATGGGAATGGGACTCGTAACATAAATAGTGAAAAGTGGGCGTTATATTGTACAGTGGCATCAAATGCCGTAATGTGCACCTTTGCCTACCCGTTCGCCCCTCTGCCTTTTAGCCGGCGTGATGTTATGTTACGTTATATTATATAGAAGAAAAGATCCATCCTTTTCTTCCATCTAAATACTGTTGTCGATAGTTCATTCCATTATGGTTATTTGAAATGTACCCCAGGGTTTTCATGTGTGATTTGATAATCTGATGCATCTATATGGAAACTCCACATATACTCATAATAAGATAGTCACTGCAAACATACTTATCTATATCGATCTACAATGATAAAATTGTCTTATCTCTGTGTAAGATTGAGAATATAAGATCTGTTTGATACAGACAGGTGATATCTGTATCCAACCAGACCATTTTCTAACTGCTGGTGATATGAACGAAATGAAGTCGGTTAAAATATAAAATTAAATAGGTTTTGACAATGAGTCAATTAAAATAATACATATTGAAATCAATTCGGAAACGTATATTTTTCTTTTAACTTCAATCTATTGTGATATAATAAATCTTAAAACTAAAACATTAAAACTTATTATAAGTAGTCTTATGGAAGCAAAAACAATCTAGAGTTAATTTTCGTAGGTCCCATAAATCGTCTGTCGCAGTTTTCATTAATATGGTGGTGAATTAAGCCCAGCCCCAGGTGGCAGGTACCCACGCGGCTGCAGTCCAGGGTTTGGCTGGCCACTCCGGTGTCTGTGGTCGGAGTGCAGCTGCAGCAGCTGTAGCAGCGTGCTGTGCAGCCCCTGCCGCTCCAGCTGCGCCTGAACTTTGTATTACGGATAACTTCAACGCCTCTAGGTCTGCAAAAGAAGAAATAGTGACAGTAATATCTCTATCTGGCTCTCATGGTACTCACAAATGTCAAAATAAGCAGGTTTTTTACCGGCGTTCTGCAGTCTGGCGGCCTGATTGTGAGCAGCACGCTGTATGGCCTTAGCTGCTGCAGCCTCGCGGGCGGCAGCGATTTTCTGAGCAGCGGCAGCACGGGCCTTGGCTCCAGCCAGCTGTGCCTGCGCCTGCACTGCTGCCTGCGCAGCCTCCAGCGCGTGCGCGCGCGCGATTCTTGCTGCCTCTTCACTATAACAGAACATAATTATATTTATAGCCTGGTAATGTAGAATCTAGAGCGGCGGTGATATTATCTCTACGGACCTTTTATGAGCAGCACGAGCAGCAGCAGCTTCCTTTGCACTGGCTACACTTTGTTGTTCGAGAGCAGCATGCTTAGCTGCGGCGACCTCATGTTGAGCGGCCATCACTGCAGTCGCAGCTGCTTTGGCAGCAGCGACTGCACCAGCCACGTCTGAACTAGTGTCTGAAGACCAACCACCTGAACAAATTTTATTCGAGTAGGTAGGTACTATTGTCTTTTCTTTGGTTTTTTTAGGCCAACCGGCCACAATCTCTCAATATCAATATACATTTGAGTACCTATTTATGCCAAATAACCCCGCGAAATTGACAGTTCATGGTTTGTGGGGCTTATTTATTCTTGTATCAATATCTTACCATGTCCTCCTTGCACCCATGTTGCCACTCCGGGCCAGGAAGCTGGCTCTATGCTGATAACACTCCTCTTGTCTTGCTGGCCGCTGGCTGAGACCGCTACGATCAGGCCAACGCAGACAACCTGGTGAGAGTCATATACACTGAATCTAATTTGTTGTCTACATCGAAGACATTTATTGCGGATTTTGCGATGGTTTACAGATTCGATTGAAGGTTACTTGAGGAGTTGTGGTGTAACCAGGGGGCGCTAGTGAGTTCTGTAGGACACGAAATTCTTATCACACTGAGACGGAGGAGTCTAGGTAGGTACGCTCAGTCACCGAAAGCAGAATCATCACGCCCTTCTGTTCTCTAAAATGAAACCAATGACTAAACCCCAAAAACCCTAATAAAAAGCTGCTTACCAATATGTTGAAACTCATGTTAGTTGATGTTTACTCCCTGTGTACACAAAGTACTGTGATACACAATTGATGGGCATGGGTTATTTTATATTGTTGAATCCGGAAAAGACTGTGTAGAAAGGGATAATGAACGATAGACATGATAGGTAAGTGTACTTTGTAATGGGAGCAGAACCTATCACTTTTAATCGATATTCTTTCACTTTCCTCGGGATTTTGATCAACGGATACTTGTGGAGATCAAATTGGTACATTCGATCCAATAAGAAGGAAATGATTACACGGGAAGTCACATAAATTAATATGCTGCGGCGTTGGCGAGTTATGGTATGCTATGGTATGGTAATATGGTCATCAAGATTCAGAGTGTGTATCAAATATTAAGGGGGTAACATTACAATTGGGTAGTTTCCAGGGTATCAAAAATAAAAATCAAATTAGTCCGTCAGTTAGATAATGAAAAAATATTAGACACGTATTTTTTACTTTCTTGTATTAAGTTGCAATACTTAGATAAAATGGGTCTAAGTTTAGGAGTGGGAGGTCGTTACGTCATAACGTCCTACAAAATGTGGCACGCTGTGACGTCACACGATATTTCAAATTAATATCTCGTTGAAAGTATTTAATTTTGTGAGAAAAGAAAAAATACGTGTCTAAAGTTTTAAATTAATGTACCAGACGGACATTAAAATAAAATTTAGGAAACTACCCTATTACTAAAGACCCAAACAAACAAACGCGGTAATTTCAATAAAACCGCTAAGACCCTACAACTGTCATACAAGCTACATGGGTCGGGAAGTTTTGAGTCCTTGCATCCAAATTAGTTCAGTAGTTCAAGCGTAAAGAATCGACAAACAGGCAGACACCGCAGACAGACAGCGTATCGTAGATATTTATAATAACACTAGCTTCTGCCAGCGGCGTTGCCCGTCTCCAGGAGTAAAAAGTAGCCTATGTATAAGTCCAGACCATAATCTACTCCAGTTTCAAATTTCATCCCGGTCTCTTCAGCCGTTTTAATCTGACTGAGTAACAAAAATAACACATATATTGAGTATGGAAGCGTAGATAATAATTTAATAGGTACCTACAGATTGGGTAGAAAGGTAAACTTTTGCATACGTCTTTAGGAAAAGAGTATGATGTTATGATAGGCCCGAAACACATAACCGCGTTGCGGCGTCGTGAAAAAGAGCGTTTTATTGTCGTTTGGTAGGGTAACCTGTACGTCGTAATTTTTATTGTGGATAGACATGACTCTGCCATGGACCATCGTGAAAAACTTATTGCTTATTTGTTATTAAGAAGACATTACTCTGCTATGCTGAAATGAGCGCAGGCAGTGACGCTACTGTCGATTCTAGCGGAGCGGCGCCGCAACGCCGTTATGTGTTACATAACATAAAATCACGCCTTTTATCCCTGAAGGGGTAGGCAGAGGTGTACATTATGCCACTGTACAATGTAACACCCACTTTTCACTATTTATGTTATGAGTCCCATGTAATAGGGGGTGAGCCTATTGCCATATACCGGGCACAATTCCAGACTCCGTGCTACTACTGAGAATTTATCAAAACCCAGTAGTACTTTGCCCGACCCGGGAATTGAACCCGAGACCCCTTGCCCGGCAGTCGCACTTGCGACCACTCGGCCAACGAGGCGTTATGTGTTTCGGCCCATAATCTGTAAAAAAAAACCATAGGTAATTATTTATGCTATGAATGCTGTGGTACTGTAAAGTACAGAAAAGGTCGAGTATATGCATAGGTAGTTGTTAGCGGTCGTGTGACTTGTGTGTGATGAGGTTCAATTGCCGCCATGCAGTAAAGTAAGTATCCTCTATTGTTTCTAGATTTAATAGTTTATAAGCTGCCAGCAACATTGTGATAAAGTTGTCAGTGTTAGAATAATAGTGTTGTCCGTTAGCATCTGCCGAAAATCCCGAGTCTGTGAGAGGAACACCGAGTTATTAATTCTTAGCTTTTGTACAGCTTTTGACAGACGTTGAAGGAAAACATCGTGAGAAAACCCGGACATTATAATTTTTAATTTTAAAAGTTTGAATTCGCCACTCCGATTAAGTAATGCCCATTCCATGGGGTATGTGAGTGTCTTCAAGGCCCGAGTGAATAGGTTGCATGGGCAGACGGGCTCCATCGTAGGCCACATCATCGCTTACCACCAGCAGCTGTAAGTAGCCAAATGCCAATTAGCGCTTGTCTATTTGTAGAGTAGAAAACGAAATTATGCTTGTGCTTCTCCAATTACAAGGAGCCATCGCTAAGTACGTCAACAAACAAATCAGATCATACAATGGCATGCTATTGAAACTAAATTAATTCAGGAAAGAAAACAAATCTTCACATCTGATACCGTGTGTGCAGAAGGATGCTCGCGAAATTTCTAGACTAGATAAATCTTATATACTTATAATAATTCTCTATTGCCTGGCCTTTTGTCTTAGTTAGTGACTAAAAACTATAAGTAGGTACTTATCTGAATTTAACATACCTTTTATAAACTACGTTTAAAAAAACCGACTTTAACCCCTCTTTTTTTATGTGACTAAATTTACCAAACACTCTTCTGAAAACCGCACTACAATCGGTTCAGCCAATCGTGAGATAATCGCGCACAAACACATGAATGAATAATTGAGAACCTTTCTTTTATTGAAGTCGGTTATAAACGAGTGACATAATAATAATACCGAAATGCCCCAATCACTACAATATCCTCTTCCCATTTACTTGCTTCATGGCATCTTCATGGACAGACGTCACAGATGACAAATGCATAACTTGTCAACTCCTGCAAATTTTGGAATTTGTTTTATTTTAATATTTCTATTTTACATGTTATATGTGGGGGTAAGTAGATTGTAGTCAATATACTGGTAAAATAACTGCCTAACAAGTAGACAATATTCACTGTATTGTGTATAAGACGATTTTGGCACCTTTCAGAGAAATCAGAGTGTAATGGTCTGGTTACGTAATGTGTTGCGCCTGCCAAATAAGAGTTCTGAATGACCCAATACTATTCCACTTTTTGATTACACGTTTTTTTTACGGAGCCCTCTTCCGATGGAAACGATGACGCAATTTAACAATTCCCTGTTTGGTCCACATCGTATTTGCGATACAGCTGTCATTGCAAATATTATTACCTATTTCTGAAGTCGCTATAACAATAAATACTAAAAACTAAATAAAATAAATATTCATACGTTATTTTTGAAATGGAACCCTCCATGTATAAATTCAACTGGCACTCAGCCGGTTTTTTTCTATGGGCACAATCAAATTGGCCCCTGAAGAAATATTGACTCCAGAACTATGTGTGAGATATATTATTAATAGTTTATATTTTACAGTAATTTGACTGTAAAATCGAGATATAGTCAAGCCAAAACACATTTTCTAAGTAGGTACCTAGTAACAGGCTGGGTTTAACTCCCAGGTCGCACGAAATATGATCGGCTAGATGAAATTCATACATTAAATGATACGTAAATCTATTAATAATTCAAAGGCCAATTACTTTTTCTCCCTTGTCTATTTGTTTGTAACTAGCGACCCGCCCCGGCTTCGCACGGGTGCAATATGCATGTATTATACATACAAACCTTCCAAGAATCACTCTATCTATTAAAAAAAACCGCATCAAAATCCGTTGCGTAGTTTTAAAGATCTAAGCATACATACGGACATACAGCGAAAGCGACTTTGTTTTATACTATGTATTGATTTTCATTAGCGTTATAATATCGATTCATGAAATGTAAGAAAAGATCAAGCCTGATTAGTCGGAATAAAGTTCATAATAATACTAATTAGGTATTTCCGATATCCTTTTCGTGCGTAAGTATTACATTTTCAAAAGGCTGGCAAGGCACCTGAAGTCATGTGACTCCTCTGGTGTTGCGGGTGTCGGGGTGTCCATACGCGGCACTATGAATTTCCATCAGGTGATCCCTCTATCTGCTCGTTTGCCTCCTATTCCATAAAAATATCCAATATACCCGATCTCCTTTTTAAATTTCATAAAAAAAAAACAATTTTATAATCTTTGCTCTTTTTGTTGCAGAGAATGAATGTGTTAGATGTTGAAGAAATATAGGTACAAATACAAAGGATTGTACTAGTTGGCGCTTTGTTGTTTTTGCCCACCCCCTTGGGATAAAAGCGGGAATTTGTATACCTATGTACCTACTACACAGGAGGAATTTCTCCATTCAGACTCCATCATACATAGTAGAGGTAGGTAAACAGTTCCCCCCCCCCCCCCATGAGTATAATTATCAATTACCATAATTAACCAGAAATCGTTCTCGACACCACTTGTTAGACCATCACATCACTCACTAGGGTATTGAGTCAATACCGAGGTGGTATCTAGTACTACGCAATAGAGCAGCGGGACCCTGACGCTCGACAGGTCAATGCTCACCATACCGGGCCATATTATAATATTAGGTACCTACTACGTAGGAATAGGAATAGGGACATAGGATGGTAATCAAGAAGTACTTCTTGATCTTTCCCAACCCCCAGGATTCTGGGTGTTACATTTACCTAACTTTAACATTATGCCTTTTGTTTAACATCTGGAAATCCTCATGGATACTCTTTGTCTAGAGTTCTAGACGATGTCCGTCTGACAGCAGGTTGTATCAGACTCTTACCGATTAAAACCCACACACTCAATGAACTTTGTATAGACCTACCTATTAGATGCCTATTTGCTATGATAAGTTTACAAAAAGTTGTATATAAGAACATCAGCTATACCTATAAATAAAAATGAATTTCCGTTCGTTAGTCTCGCTAAATCTCCAGAACGGCTGAACCATTTGGCTAATTTTGGTCTTCAAATGTTCGTGGAAGTCCAGGGAAGGTTTAAAAGGTGAGAAAACAATTTTATGGCGGTACAAAGTTTGCCGGGTCAGCTAGTAATCCTAATATAAATATTGTTCCAGTCCACACAAATCGTTTCAATGGTATGGATGTGAGTACTTACTTATTTTCTTTTTAATCACCTGAATAATTTCATTGCTTATCTCTTTACAGCTTTAAATAATAAAAATGTCGAAGCAAAAGCAGCCTCAACAAAAAAGTTTGCTTCCGCAACTAAAGTAAGTGGTATTTTAGTACTAAATTAAAGTACTATATAGTCAATTAGCGTTAACTCTACACGTCGTCATATACGTGCCGTAGACGCAGGTTGTCCGGGAATTAACCTGGAAAATCGATACCTATTTACAAGTTCGCTCTTAGTAGCTGGGACTACAGCCATAGTATACCTTATAAATAAAATGCATCGGTTTTACACATTAATGGGTTTGAGACACATTTGCACGTCTGTCGTGTCGCGTCAGTCGCCAAATGCTTGCAGCCGATTGATGGTCGCGGCGCTAGTGCTATACGATGATTCTTCAAAGTACCTACATATTTCTGCGTTTAACCACAGTTAGAGCCAAGTAAATAAACTTTCTTGTGAAAACAGACCATTTTGATGAATATAATATTGTAATCCTGAATTTCGAAATTTTCAGCATTCTGCCAAAAATTATTAATGGCGGTATTGCGAGTATTGTGGGTATATGCATAGTATTTCCATTGGATTTAGTAAAGACCAGACTTCAGAATCAAACGATCGGTCCAAATGGCGAGAAGCAATATAAAAACATGTAAGTCTTAAAATATTAATTGTGGACAGTTGAACCAAAACCAATAGGTTACCGAGCTCGCAAGCTCTGTTTCTAATATAATACAAATCAAGCCTTATTCTAAATTTAAACGATGTCAGAGAGAATCATTGACTTTATAAGAAATTCACTACCTTTAATAGTTCCTAACATATTAGTCACATTACTTTTAAACTGAGACTATACTCTACCCAAATTTAGTGTTTTGTACTTTCTTTTACTTCAGGTTAGATTGCTTCAAGCAGACATACCGAGCAGAAGGCTACTTCGGTATGTACCGAGGGTCTGGTGTCAATATCCTACTGGTCACACCAGAGAAAGCTATTAAGTTAGCTGCCAATGACGTATTTCGGTACTATTTGGCCAATCCTGACGGGTACGTTCAAACGTGTTCAAACTATTCGTAGTCCTTTTTTCAACAGTGGGCGTCTTCCGACTGGGCTTGTGGCACCGACTTCTTACTTATCAGTGTGCGGGTACCTTATCAGTACGTATGCCAAATAATAGTTATTGTTTGCTTTTAGTTTTTACCTTTTGTTTGTTTCTAGTTTTTGATTTTTGAAGTCAGTTTTGAACGCAATTTTTTTTCGCAATAAAAGGTGTCCTATGCTCTTCAAGTTCAATTCTATCTCTATACTAAATGTCATCAACTCGATTCAGCGGCCTAAAAGCCTAAGCCTTTCGTTCATTCTAGAACCTAACACTTTTATTTTGTTTCGCAATTTAGAACTATATCGCTGTTAAATCAGACGATTTCTGGCGCTGGAGCCGGGCTTTACCAGGCTTTAATCACCACACCTATGGAGCTCCTGAAAATCCAGTTACAGGATGCTGGACGAATCGAAGCACAAATAAAAGCTGGTTTGTAAACTATGTTACTGTTTCTGGATTTTTTCCGGCTTCTATATTTATAAACACAACCCTCACAGGAAGGTAAATAAAGAAAGTGATTTTATGTGATGAAACTTTTATTTTAATAGTAGGATTCCTAATAAGAAACACGTTACAGAATGACAAAAGTTGCAAGTTGCAAGGTACAATTTCAATGCACGGTTTGCGTAGTTTCTGGGGAACCAACTGCCGCATTATAACCTACACTTAAATACAACTGAAGATTAAGACACAAGAGTTCATCATCATCATTTCAGCCATAAGACGTCCACAAGATTTAATTTTTGAATAATTATGGTACTTACATCTTGTTGTTTGATGTTTTTTCAGCGGGAGGAACAATTCCGCCTAGACCAACTGCATGGGGACTAACCAAAAAATTATATTCTCAAGGAGGCTTTTTCGGATTTTATAGAGGCATAAGAGCTACAGCGATACGAGACGTCGGTTTCAGTGCGATTTACTTCCCTATGTTCGCAATCCTCAGCAAGTGGGGACAGAAGCCAGACGAAATAACACCACCATTCTGGCAAGTATAGCAAAAATGTAACTAATATTAGGTAGGTATTTGCTTGTTCTATTATTATGTATGTCTTTACCAATCACGGGGCTAATCAAACTCCCGATAATTTGGGAGGCGTACGAGGAGCCAAAACCAACTGAGTCCGATCCGAATTCCTTTAGACAACTTTAAAGGTAATGTGACACAAACCAATTCACCCAAGGAGTGTGTAGAACTATTAGACAATGGAAACAACAGGTAAAGCTTTGGTTGGATTTCTATGGACTGGTAAATTGGGAACTATGGGACGATTATGGCACCTGCCGAAACAATGAAAACAACAGGTAAAAATGGCAGGCGGAGACTCGCCAACTCACCAACCGGGCCCCCGGGAATAGTTTCATGAAATGGCAACAGAGAGACAACGGAAATGTAAGGGATTGAAAGGTGAAGAAATTACCATCAGTTTTCTGATTATCTATACCTGCCGAATCATCCTCCATCATTGGCCCACTCGCCGCTTACTATTAGTTTTCACTTTTCGAGCAGGATCGCTGTTCTCGCGACTCCACTCTGGACGGCCTAGCCAATAAAGGCAAGCCAGATATTGGAGGTCTGTTCCTCGTCATCTTTATCTCCAACCAGCCTATTAAGGCAAGCCGGAGACTGAGGAATGGCGACTTCTACCTGGAGCACTCGGAATGACGGTCGCCCGCTAATGCCTGTCACCTAGCCTCAAGGTGCCCTGCGAGAGCCTATTATTATTATTAAAGAGAGTTCTGTTGTAAACCACAGGTGGTCGTTCATTTCGGGCTATGTTGCGGGATCTACATCAGCTGTAGCCGTCACTCCAGCAGATGTGATTAAAACTCGCATGCAAACAATCACCAAAGGCACTGGCGAACGGCAATATTCAGGGGTTGTGGATTGCATTACGTAAGTTCTTGTTTTCATTGTTCCATTCATTTGGATGCAACGTTTACATTGTACTTACCTATATACTAATTGTTGTCGCAGGTCCACGATCCGGAACGAGGGCATAACAGCTTTATTCAAGGGTGGATTGTGCCGTATGATCGTGCTTGCACCGCTGTACGGTATCGTGCAGACGGTCTACTACCTCGGCATTGCGGAAAGATTACTAGGCTACAATATGGAGAAATTCGTCTGAACATTCATCAAATGAAAAGCTCTAGATTGCTCACTGATGAAGTGGTTCTTACACTAGTATCGTTTTTCAATATTTGTATAAGAATCTTCGTATTTTAAGTATATTTACTTATACTACAGTTTCACTTCCAGGGGTGGTTTAACCAACAGTGCTAAGGGTATGGGTGCACCCAAGCGCCGAATATTGAGGGTGCCAAGAGCCACACACAGTAGGAACATAGAGTTCACGTAATGGCCCAGTAGGTACCTATATTACTGGTGGTAGCCCTGGTAGAATGCTGTCATTAAATATGTTTTCAAATGTTGTCATTAAATATGTACCTACATATTTTCAAAAGATGCAAATAGGTTTTTTATAGACTGATCAATCAAACCGTATTCTGCAACGAACCTCCTCAATGCTGTTACTTCTGCAAAAGAAGTGTTCTAGTACTATTATAGACAACGTGTACTCACAATAAAAAAACATATTGTATAGGTAGGATACAATCTGGTGCAGATTTTACACAGATATGTAACATTTATCTACAGCCGACCATGATGAACCAATAAGGAGTAATTATGTTGTGTATGAAAAGTAAAATGAAATGAATGATAACCGAAATGAGGCAATTCGCAACCTGCATAGAGAACATATTTACAGAAACGATGAAGGACAATGTGAAGCAATTGTGTGATAATGATAAGACTCACCACATTATATGCACTAAGCTGAAACTGGACTACCAAACACTAAACAAATAACGAAGGTGGAAAACTCGGTCGTCTGCTTCGATTCCCTAAGGGAGACAGCAGCATATCAAACCCACAAGAAAAATTATTTACTTACTTTTGGAACTTAATACAATCAATTTGAGGGATTTGCTTGACCAAAGTTCCCAAGTGAGCTTGAAAACGGACAATGCAGCACAAATAAAACTAGGAATAGTGGTGTTCAGCGTGACATAAAAGATAAAAGGAGACGGCAGTTTTAATGATCACATATACTGCGGTTTGAAGCTACAAAAGATGTATTGTCACTACTACTCAAACGCAGAACGTATCGCTACGTCCTTGTTGCTTAAGCAGATGTAGAAAACCTTTATTGATTCATCTGATTGAAATACATAAAACCACCATCAAGGTAATCTGAAGAACTTCCCTTAACGAAGGTCTACAAGATAGGCGGCTGACCACCGTAACTTATGAAATTAAAAGTACATTTTATCTCACCATGCGCACATTGCGCACTGAACATAAACCAAAGACAATATGGTAAAAAAGGTAAACTCGGTGAAGATAAAACAGATGCGTGCCCGAAAGCTAGAAATATCTTAAATAACTATACCTACGTGGTTTCCGGGAGGGACATCCGACACTGATACTATCGATGTTGGTATCTAAAACATAGCTCAGTGAGTTGCTAAAAAAAGGTTTTATCTTAAGAAAATGAAAAACAAACGCAAATCATTATCTTAGGAGAATTAAAAATGTTATGCAAAAGGTGGAGTCAACTTTTCGTATGCCAATGGAATCCACCAATAACTACAGATTGTAGATTTGAAACTTGGGTGGAACAAACGAGATTGGTTAATAACGACCATGCTAGAAAACCATCAAAATAATTGCCTAAGTTACATACATCATAAAGACTGAGTTGAAAGAAACTAACTGCTGCATACTCGCATTTTATACTGAAAAGTACGTACAGTACCTAATTGTAAACGCTTAATACGAACGCTTCTAAAGTTGTACTAAGGATGCCTATGCTAATTAAACTCAGTTAATTGCTTAACCGAGTAAACTAAATAAAGTAGATTATAATATAAATGTACTGGTTACCACCACTATACGAGCAACTACATTTAGGGTAGACGACTAATTTTTATTTTAATGTCCGTCTGGTAGATTATTTAAAAACATTAGACACGTATATTTTACTAGTGACCCGCCCCGGCTTCGCACGGGTGCAATATGCATGTATTATACATACAAACCTTCCTTAAGAATCACTCTATCTATTAAAAAAAACCGCATCAAAATCCGTTGCGTAGTTTTAAAGATCTAAGCATACATACGGACATACAGCGAAAGCGACTTTGTTTTATACTATGTATTGAAATGACGTTTTAGCCCCCACTCCTTAACTTTGATTCGTTTTATCTAAGTATTGTTTCATTATTCGACAAAATAAAAAAATACGTGTCTAATATTTTTTAATTACCTAACTTACGGACTAATTATATTTTTAATTTTCATACCCTGTCATCATCCCCAATTTAACCTTATCTACTGCTACTACTAGTTGCTCATATTTTTACTACCTACCTACATTTAGGTACGGACTACGGACTACACCATTTATAAATATTATTATTATGTATTTTTGCTTACTTATTATTATACAACATGTGTTATATTATATAAAATAATTAACCATAGAACATAATATTATTATGTTATGTTTGATGGTGTACCTTCAATAATGTTTTACTCCCATCTAAAATAGTGCGGTTCTTAAAACCACCACGTGCAGTTCCTTATATATCAGGTTAGGCGGTAGGTATGTATTTAGAAGTATATTGGTTGATGAGTTATAAATATTTTTGGGATATCTCCCAAGGGGAGTAAAATGATAAAGTGTCTTATTCCCGACATCTCGCCTCGAGGTTTCTTGCGAGTTGTGGCTGTTGTGAACCCTCAAGGTGCTCCGCAGGTTTATTATACTTTTACAAATTTGCTATTGTTTACTTAACTTTAATTTTTATTTTTACTATTTACTCTATTGTTAACTTATTTTTTGTTTTTATGGAGTGCGCTAATGAGATAATGTTTGTTGGATATGGCACTTTTAACGAATGCAGGATAAATGATTTTGCTGTTTTAGTTTACTTAATTATTATTCCTTGATATAAATAGTTTTACACATTTTCTATTGTTTACTTTTATTTAACTTTAATTATTTACTTTACTTTTTGTTACTTTGTTTTAATATTTCTTAGTTATTAGGTTAGGTACGTATTTGCTTTGTCGTGGATGCTCATCCTACATTATGACATGTACCTACTTTCGCAAAATTCGCTAATCGAGATTCACGAGTCGTCCTAGGATTACTGACACAGAGTACGGATTAGCATCCAATGAAAGCTTCGTGTTACTTTTACGAATAAACTATTAACTGGGAAACCTGTCGCTTTATTATGTAGGTACAATATATTACCAGCCTTCTTAGAGACTTTTTGTTCAAGAATATATCAGCCCCGTACGGACATACCAATACAATTTGTAACACACACGTCTAAAATATGAATTAAATTATCTCAAAGGTGCAGCCGAAATGGTATTTGAGACCTACGCAGACCGGGACGTAATGGCAAGGGGTAATTTTTTTTGCTAGTGGACATTCAAACGTATATAGAAATACAACTGCTTTCGTTGGGTAACTCATACTGAGGGTACTGAAACCCCAAAACAGCCGAAAGATCATTGCCTACAGATGGGGCCCATTGTAAGGTCATTAGCTCGGGGTTTGCTTGTAAGTTGCCATATAGGTACCGCGATCCCAGCACGAAGCATGAATTAGAATGGTTGGTTCTTAGTTAATAAGAACCTGAGACTCCCGTCTCATTCGGGGCCGGAGGATTATTTATATTAAAACTAGACAGGTATGTTCATGCTAGCTAAGGAGGAGGCGGGACGCGTGAGGCAGTGTAGCGCTGCCTCCTCGCAACCCAGCCATCGCGAAGGACACACCGGGCGTCGGGGATCGCGGGACGATCTACGGCCACCGTAAGCGCGGGCCTGCGGACGGCGAGCATGGGTGGCTCGACGTGCAGGAGAAGGAACGGGGTGGTTTTTAGTCAGTAAGAGTCTGACACTCCCTCCCGCCTCACACAGGCGGGAGCAGTCATTCGATGATTTTCCACCCTTAAAAAAAAGACAGGTATGTTAGTATGTACTTGGTTAGTATGTACCTATACCAATCTATAATCGGTTTGCGACACGCCTCGATATACAAGTGTGTCTCATAGCATAGTAAAGTAACCAATGAAAAAGAATTAAGAAAACAATACACAGAAATCACAGAGTTATTAGGTAATATCTAACAAAAATACGTACCCGAGTCATCCGAGTGGAAAATTATGAACGAATTTAAAGTTTGGCTGCGTCTATATAGCAACTTTTTAGGTTAAAAAGGACTGGCAATCTGATTTCTTTATAAAAAAACTACCTAACGAGTAAATCTAGCAGTTGGCAACACTGGCCAAATGCCAAAATAAACGTCAAAAGTCACAATTAGCATTATACAAACTGACACAATTGTGGCAAAAGCACGATCAGTGCAAAGCCACAATATAAACGTAATTTCAACAAAAATTTGGAAATAAAATACTAAAATTATACGTGTATATTATGAGAAAAAAGTAAAGTAAAATAATTTTGAATTTATAAAAAAAACTGCAAAAGGTAAGACAAATTTTATTCTGATTACGTAAAAAGCCGCTATTGATCGGAATCCGAGTCGGTTACTTGTGAGACAATATTAATACCAAATTGGTGTAATAATACATGTTCAAAAAATATAGTTTAGAAGCAGTTCTGGGTCAGAAAGGTCGTGTGAAAGGCTATCTGTCATTACTTCAATCTTCATCAACATTGGGTATTTCTTCAGTAATATTGATTTTTTGGGCGAGTAGACCGACTACGATCGGTTTAATCATTCGTTTCTTATGATATTAATAGAGTACATATTATGCCAGTAGACTACCCTACTCCTATGTACTAAAATCAATAGTTAAAAGTGTTGAAATTTTATCATACTGCTGTTTTGCTAGGATTACAATATACTACTTATTATATTAATTTCTTATATGTATATATAGCGGAAGTCGTAATGTAGGAGTAGGAATGGGATGGTAATTAGTCAGTAGAAGTCTGACACTCCCTCTCGCTTCACCCAAAGCGAGAGCAGTCATTGACTGCTTTTCTCCCCTTAAACAATGCCAGTTGGTTATCTATCCATTTACTTAATAAAGTACTAACCTGGTCTGGTGACAAATATTGTGGGATTTTACTCAAGCTAATTTTATTTTACAGCGTTAAAAATCAAAATGGCAGCGCCAAAAGGTCCTCCACCACCTGCTCAGTCATTCAAGTAAGTGATATTTATTTTTATATATAGATATAGATTATCTGGACAAGACATGACACTTTTCAGTGTAATTATGTGTTATTTATTTTAATTTCTTAAACCTATTTCCGTAGTAGTTCATAACACATAATTATAAGTTTATTTGTAACTTGTATTATATTTGTCTACACTAATAGAGGAAGAGGAAAGATTCGATTTTTTGTTTGTTTGTTTGTTTGAATGTTATCTCCTCCGAAATTACTGGGCCAATTTGAAAAATTCTTTTGTCATTGAAATCGTACTTTATCGATGATGAACATAGGCTATAATTATTAAAAGTTTTACGTAAATAGTTGTTCAAACAAATTTTGGTCTTTATGAGAGAAAAATATTTAGCTGCATCAGAATCAGAGATTTTAAAGAACAATTACGAATTCAATGAACTGAATGCATTTTATTCATGGCCTAGCTTCTACTCACGGTTTCGATCGCGCACTTTGAGGGTAGGTTTACAAAAGATAAAAAAGAATTTGTGCCCGATGTTTTGCTGCTCACAAATATGATCCTAATTTTAGGTTTCTTGAAAATTGCGAAATGCTCCATACGAACTTCCATCCCCTGTTTTAGGGAAGTGGTGGGTTAGAAAGAAACAAAATGTCGCCTATGCTACTTTCAATCCTTTCTATTATTTCCACGCAATAAAAAAATCACGTCAATTTCTAACAAAACAAACAGACTCAAACAAATTTATAATATTAAGTTTACTAATATTAAGTTTCTATGTTATCTGCCATATTTTTGACAAGCAACTTTCATGCCAATGTATCATTGAAAATTTATTTTTTTATTATCATAATATAACATTGAAAAGGAAAAGAGACTGAATACTAATTTTATTAACCACTGAACCTATTTGATTGAAATTCGGTTCAACGAGAGTTTGAGACACTGGCACTGGAAAGGAAACCTCACGGGACAGGAACAATGCTTTAGAATTACGGGATTCTCTATTGCTTAAACCACTGAGCCTATTTGAGTGCAATTCGGTACAACGATAGTTTGAGACTCGAAAATGACGCCTGATAGCTTTCAACCACTGTACCGATTTGATTGGAATTCAAATGGAGTTTTAATCACTGAAACCTCACGGGAATTGATACCATACGGGGAAAATTCCTATAGGATTGTTTATTTTTTTAAATCACTAAAATGAACAACTTTCCACAATAAATATAAATGAATCGGTGCTGATGAGATTTGTTCCATACCATTAGAATTACCCTTGGAGAAGACTAATTAAAAAATCCAAAATTTGACAGAAATCGTTATCATACGCGGATGAAGTCGGGCGGAACAGCTAGTATATTATATTTTTAGAGTTAGAGTAAGGAGAAAAAAAATACATAGTTACAAATATATCATCTTGTTTAACATAATTTAATAACATCTAATGAGTTACAAAACAATTCGCATTCAGGTATTCAAATTCGAATGTTCAGAATTTCATAAAAATGATTTCGTTTTAGTTATTTCAGTCATTTACTACAATTGTTACTTATTGTAAATTACAAATGTTATCGAATTTTTTGAACTACCTATACACTTTTTTGGTTTTTAATTTATTGATTTTATTTAGGTGTAGTAACAAAAATATTATATGCATACTTTAACATAGTATTATGTTGTTTAGTTCTAGATAATTGTAATGTTTGTTATGCTCTTTTATTCTCACATGTGAAGCGACCTTCAAATTGAATACAATATTGTAACAGAGCCGGTCTCTATGTTAATTATGTCCAGTCCAGTCAATTTGAAATGTTTACATGTAAATACTTAGATAGTCTTGAATTAGATGTTTATAACTTACATATTATGTATGGTCTGGTATTTAGGTTTTTTTGTATGGTATACCTATGGTATATCTATGTAAACAAGCAAGCAGATCACTTGATGGTAAGCAAGCGGCGCCGCCCTTGGACACCTGAAACACCAAGGCTTTACAAGTGCGTTACCGGCCTTTTAGGAATTGGGAATTTGTGGATTGTGGAGACTGAGGAGACTAGGGAGGGGGGTAATTGGGCAACCTCCGGTAACCTCACTCACACGACGAAACACAACGCAAGCGTTGTTTCACGACGGTTTTCTGTGAGGCCGTGGTATCACACCGGTCGAGCCGGCTCATTCGTGCCGAAGCATGGCTCTCCTACACTTATTTATTACACACACAGCAGGTTACTATAAACAAACCTTTTTTAAAGTCAAATTTTGGAGACAGGGTAATACATTGTTTATTATTTTGTTAGGATCACAATGGGGATGATGACAGGGTATGAAAATTAAAATATAATTAGTCCGTAACTTAGGTAATAAAAAAATATTAGACACGTATTTTTTTATTTTGTTGTATAATAAAACAATACTTAGATAAAACGAATCAAAGTTTAGGAGTGGGGGCTAAAACGTCATTTCTTAGTATAAAATGTACTGAGAAGTGACGTCACGCGACATTTCAAATCAATATATCTTCGAAACTATTCGTTTCCGTAAGAAAATAAAAAATACGTGTCTAATGTTTTTAAATAATCTACCAGACGGACATTAAAATAAAAATTAGTCGTCTACCCCATTAAAGCCGTCAATAAACTGCCATTGCCCGTTCCAAAGAAAAAAACACCGCGCTGAAGCCGTGCCATGGCCGTTACTGTGCCATGACCTTAAAAATTTAAAACAAAATTCGTTAATATTATGTAGTTGAGTCTCTTCAGATTCTTAGCAGCCAGCCCAGATCTAGATTTGTATTTAATTCAATCATGTGTCATTTTGACCTACGAATACGACGAGCGACGTTGCGAGACTCCAAGGCCATATTTTTAGATAAATCTGATATATCAGATATGCAATCTAATTCAATGTGATTTTAAGATACACTGCCAATATTGATAAATATATTCATAAATTGATACAAAATAGTCTCCATACTTTACACGAATAGAGAATATATGAAATTGAAATTATCTAAATCATCACCATCACCATCCTGCCAACTTTAATTAATAATTCAATTACACGGTAGGATCGTACGGTCAATCTAAATATTGACTGCGAATAAACTGATAACAAAACCTATCGTGTATTAGGCGCCATAGCAATATAGCAATATTAATATTTCGTTGCTTTCTTAAATGCATTATTCAAATTGTAATTAAATAATGTGTCTTAGTGCTAGAAAAGCATAGATTTAAAGAAATATCTGACATTAAAAAGTATTCCAAAGAAGGTATTATAGAATGCTCTGCTGTTGAGTTGTTGTTCATGGGTTTTATATAGTGTGCATCTATCGTCCTCTTAAATGTAGTAATCTCGAAATATTATACACTTTATCCTACAATAAAAATAAATTAATAATTTGTGGTTACTTCAATATTAATGTTTTGAGACCGTCAATAAGTAACGATAGATTAAAAGAAATGCTATCTGTTTTTAATCTACGTTTGCAAATTAACTCGTCGAGTACCGGTTTTGTAGACACAATTATAGAACAATAGGTTGCGGTCACCGGTGACCGCTTGGTGTTTGACAGTTTAAAGACCAACACGTCTACAATATTATAAAATATAAGAGGTACAGTGCACAAAATTTCTAGGACTGCATGTAGAGAGCAACTTAAAAGTGGCGATCTCATAGTGAATTGTTTGTTGAGCTTGTTTGTTGGACTTATTTATTGGAGCTCCTATGAGCTCCAAAATTAATCAGTTCTCGTATGTACTGTTCAAGCTATCTAAGGTTGCTAATGCCGCGAACACTTATAACTGCATACCACGGACACGTTGTTTCTTTTTTCGGTATGGGATAATCTTCTGGGGCAACTCAACTTACAAAGAAATGATATTCATATCTCAAAAGATGTGTGTTAGGGCTATTTCCAAACTAAGCCAAACCGACAGCTGTAAACCGTACTTTATTAATTTAAATATTTTGACGGTACCATGTATCTAACATGTATGAAGTGTTAGTAAAGAATAATATTTATCTATTTGAAAAACGCTTTAATAATCACACATGTCATGATTCCCGAGTATGCATTTTTTTTTAAAGTAGCGTTTTTTGTATGGCCCCAAGATTATACAACCATTGGCCAAACGAATTGCAAAAGGTACAATCTTTGAAGGTTTTTAAGAGTAGAATAAAAAGGTTTTTAATCTCTAATGCATGTAGTGTTACTGAATACTTAGAAGACAAAACATGATGTTTTTTTTATATAAAGTTTTATTTGACATTCTAATATTTAATTATGGTTATCTTGTTTTATTTGACTATTGACGTTCAAATTTATAATCCTATGTGACATAATAAATAATAATTCTAATGACGTTAAGTAATAATAAATAATCAATCCAAATCATTGCTTCAAACTATTTTATAATTTAGTAAAATAAACGCTAATATAGCGTTTAAAAATATTATTTAAGACCCTAATGTTACCTATGTTTGCAATGAATAAATTAATTTGAATTTGAAATTATTTTCAAAGTAGGAACACATTTTGTTACATTGCAATGAAAATAAATTATATTCTGCCTTTTTCTATTTTCAGTTTGATTCCAAAAATCGTCAATGGCGGTATCGCGGGTATTGTGGGTGTCTCCATAGTGTTTCCATTGGATTTAGTAAAGACAAGACTTCAGAATCAAACGATCGGACCAAATGGCGAGAAGCAATATAAAAACATGTAAGTTGAAAATTTGTCTGGTAGTGACAGCGTAGTAGAATATATTTACCCTCGACGTTTACACAAAAATTCGAGAACAGCCCCTCCCTCTGGTAAAACTAAAACAGAAAAGGAGATCAGAGAGCCAAGCAAAGTCAAAGTCAAAGCATTTATTTCAATTAAACCATAGTTTGGTACTTTTGAAACGTCAACAAATACAAAATAAATAATGTCTGCACGAATAACTGTCGCATTCGTATCGTAACAGTATCGAGCAAGTTAAGTGTTCTGATTGGTTGGTTCACTTGAGCCGGCCAATCAGAGCGCCGAACGCGGTCGATACTATTACGTTACGAATGCGATAGTTATTCGTGCTTGGCGCTCTGATCAGATTAGTTTTACCAGAGAGAGGTCTCTGGTAAAACTGAGCTGCGATCGCTCACCCGTTTCCCAAGCGTGGAGTTGGTAAATGGATTTTGCCATTTCCACTTCTCCACTTAATAATATAGAGTAGGCCCTAGTTCAACAGTAAATTGATCTAAAAATATTATTGATAGACAAATAATATTATTGGAATAAAATCTATTAAAAGGGGCTTTTGCATTCAAGCTCTGTATCAAATATTTATTATAAGATTTCTTATCTTGTTAAACATAAACTCTTTTGTGATACTCAAATTACTGACTGTATGAGAAATGTAACAGATATGAATCCGAAGTTCCGAACGTTATAATTTTTAACTGTTTGCATTTCCGTCACTTTCCAGGTTAGATTGCTTCAAGCAGACATACCGAGCAGAAGGCTATTTCGGCATGTACCGAGGGTCTGGTGTCAACATCCTGCTGATCACTCCAGAGAAAGCTATTAAACTGGCTGCTAATGACTTTTTCCGCTTCCAATTGTCCAAGCCAGATGGGTAAGTCTTTAGACAATTTTGCTGGTGTCCGATAGATGATTTCCGTCAATTCGTATTCTATCTTCTTCTATAATTCTATCTTTGGCCAACGAGGATGACTGCCTTGTAGGCCGAGTGGTCGCAAGTGCGACTGCCGGGCAAGGGGTCTCGGGTTCGATTCCCGGTTCAGACAACATACTACTTAGTTTTAAAAAAAATCTCAGTAGTAGCACTGAGTCTGGAATCTTGCCCGGTATATGGCAATAGGCTCATCCCCTATTACATGGGACTCATAACATAAATAGTGAAAATTGGTTACATTGTACAGTGGCATAATGTACCTCTGCCTACCCGTTCTAGGATAAAAGGCGTGATGTTATGTTATGTTATGAAGTTATGATCATCATCATCAGCCAGACAACGTAATAATATGTACGTAACGTAATATAATGTAATAGGGGATAGCTGCTGGCCTTTAGGTCTCCGCGTCGAACGACAGTCTGAACAGGGCGCTTACTCTTGAAACCAATCTCAATTTCAGTGCAATTTCAATCCAATAAAATAATATTTATTCAATGTTAACACTCTACAATAACAATCGTAGCTGTTAAAGTACCATTTAGAGTATACGGAATATAAAGCCAAACTCAATATCATTTAGTTCATTCAATATCCACGCAATACGGATGCAATGGGCGTTAGTGTTGCAACTCAAGAGTACGACATTTCACAATGTCAATGTCGATCGATCGGAATTGGATTCAAGAGTAAGCGCCCTGCATCGAACGCGCGTCCGAGCAAGTTAAAGTCCGGGCGATCGCAGAAGTCTAGTTAAGTCGTCAAAGGGAACCTTTGGGAATAGAACTGCGAATAGACAGAAATATTACGTGTGTTGTTTCTGTAGTGTAGCCGACAATTTTATTTACTTAAATGAGCTTGTTTTAGCATTCCGTTAAAGTGACGTAAGTGACAAATAAAGCGCAATATAAAAGTTTCAAACATCATAGGTATCTCGTACTCCTGCCTGTCGCCCTGCCTGCCGAATTTGTTTCATTATTTTTAAGTATACTTATACTTAGTTTATTTTGTCGTGTATTTCAGTTGTGACAAAAAATTAATCGTTTTGTTTTGTTGTGCGATTTAGAACCATACCGATCCCAAATCAAATGCTTGCTGGTGGTTCAGCTGGGGCGTGTCAGATTATCATCACCACGCCTATGGAGCTCTTAAAAATCCAAATGCAGGACGCTGGTCGAGTTGCAGCACAAATCAAAGCCGGTTTGTAATATATTATTGTTGAACAAATAGTCTGTAGAAGTCTAAGGATTTGTTAAGTTGTTTTGATTTGTCAAATTGAAAAATATTTAGGAAAAAAAAAGTGAAAGAGTTCAGGTATAGAACAGAAATGTTTTTTTTTTCAGCGGGCGGTAAAGTGGGTAAGCGTGTCACAGCCTGGGAACTAACCAGAAAATTAGTTGCTGAAAAAGGTATTTTGGGGTTGTATAAGGGCGTGACGGCGACAGCGGCTCGAGACATCTCCTTCAGTGTAGTCTACTTCCCCACATTCGCAATCCTAAGCAAACTGGGTATTCAGAACCCACAAGACTTAACACCACCTTTCTGGTCAGTATAACAATGAACTAATTGGTATAATATCATTTGTTCAGGTCCCTTTTTGTAGTACATAATAGTCCTTAGAATCAGGTGTGAACCAGTTTACTTTATAAATTTTTCCAAAACACTTTATATTATTATTATATCAGTAAATTACAATAGCCGTTATTTTGTCATGGAATTAGAAACATAACATGATTTTAAAATAGCCACTGTTAAATCCCAGGTGGTCCTTCCTTTCGGGCTGTATGGCGGGATCTAGCGCGGCTTTGGCCGTCAATCCTATGGACGTGGTTAAGACCCGCATGCAAACACTCACTAAAGGCAGCGGCGAACGACAATATTCGGGGATCGTGGATTGCATTACGTAAGTTCTCGTTTTCCTTGAATAAAAATGAATGCATGTTGGTGAGACTGCACTCGGTGTATATGTGAATGAATGTAGTAAGTTACTGAGGCGTGCACTGTTCTCACAGGTCCACGCTGCGGCACGAGGGTCCGACTGCGTTCTTCAAGGGTGGCGCTTGCCGTATGATCGTGATCGCTCCTCTGTTCGGTATCGCGCAGACGGTCTACTACCTCGGCATCGCGGAGTACATTCTAGGGTACAATCGCAGTAAAGCTGTCTGAACACACTTCCGAACTTTATGTCTGTTCATAGATGAATTTTATTTCCATTTCACTTTACAATACTTATTTATTTGTATACAACTTTACGACATTTGTTTAAGAATTTATCTTTTTGTTTGTGTATATTTATTTCTATGCATTAGTTAAATTTTTTGTTGATAAGAGAATGTACTAATCTCTAAGCGCCTGTTTCACTTCATATAAGTATCCGATAAATTTTTGTGACAGATAGTTCATACACATCGTCATGAATTCGTTAATTGTTCGTCTGGCACGTAGCGGATGAAACAGGCAGTTAATGTATTAATAATGATATTAGAGAATTTCTGTACTATTTATAACATGATCATGTTCTGTAAGATTTACCTCAAATATATTATTTAGTTAATCTCATCTATTCATCATGTTTGTGTGTTGAACTGCTAGTAATACTATATGCTTACAGATCACTGTTGTCACATGAGACAATCGTAACATGACATTTGAAACTTGTATTCTTACATAATTTTAAGCCTCTCTCCATATTCATGATAGTTGCTATAAAACATATGTACAACTAAGCTAAACTTTCTTTATTCAAAAATTTTTGGATGACTTGGAATGTGAATTATGCCGAAATGCAAAAACACGAGGGAAGGTCTTATAAAATATTATTATAACAAATAACCATGATGTATGTTAACCAGTTATGTTTAGTAATGAAAGACGAAACCTATTTTTGGGCCTAGCCTGTACTCGAATCAGATAATAAGTGAACAAAGTCACCGTGAGACCGTGTCGTAGTAATTTCAATTATAAACTGTTGTATGTGATACATCGCCAAAACGAGAAGACAGATCACCTGGTGGTAAGCAATCGTTGCCGCCCACGGATACGCTTTCCATGATTTTTGAGAGTTAGGATCGGAGCATTGGGGCTCCGATAACTTCACACAGAAGGCGTAACAAAGTGAGTGTTGCAAGTGTTGTATTTTTTTTTTAATTCTTTAACCGTGCAGAACCATGCTTCGGCACGAATGGGCCGGCTCGACCGCAGTGATACCACGGCCTCACAGAAAACGGACTTGAAACAACCCTTCTTACGTTATGCTTCGTCGTGTGAGTGAGGTTACCGGAGGCCCAATTACCCTCCCTCCTCCCCAATCTCCCCAATCCCTGAATCCTTAACAATCGCACTTGTAACACCTCTGGTGTTCTGGGTGTCCATGGGCGACGGCGATGGTTTACCATCAGGTAATCCGTCTTTTCGTTTACCGGCTCAACCCGTAAAAATATCAATGTCAGAGTAAAATAAAACACTGACAGCTAATTCATTTTAATTTGAACAGCATTGTGAAATCAAAAATTTCGGTTGAAGTAAATATAATCGACTAAACTGAATTTATGTAGTGAACAACTAATGTCAATTAGAATTTGAAGATACATTGGTATGGGGTTTTAAATGGCAAAGTAATCCAAATCTCCCTAATTTTTGGCAAAATATCGATGCCGTATGGCTGGGCCCAAGTTCCTATGGATTTTGTTTTTTATATGGCTTGTGATATTCGTTATTTAATTTTGTAAAATTATAATGTTTATTAAATAATAATTATATTTGTTGGAAAATAGTTATAATGTTATAAGTCGATTAAGCTAGTGCTGGACCTTAGTAACTCCTAGTTTTAATGGGGATTTGAAGGTATGAAGAAAGGAATTGAATGTTTGACATGCAAACAGTTCACAAACTCATTGGATTATTAGAAGATTATTTAACAAGTACATTACGCATTTATACATGTTTTGAGAAATGGATCAAGCATGTTACAGCTTTACCAATACGAGTGTCATTTTTTTCTTCGTATTGTATTTTGTGATTTAGAGTTATCTTGATAATATTAATTTATTTTCTAACAAATATTTTCTTTAAATACAGAACGAGGCACTACAATATCCCGTTGATCTGCTGTCACTGGTAGATATACCCTTTCAACGGAAAATATAAAATTAAGATGCTTTTAATCGGAATGTTTAAACTAATGTGCTTGTGTGTATTTTAGGGAGTTCAGACTATAGGTTCACCTACTACATGGGACTTACCACAGATGAAAACTAACAGTTTACATTTACATGGCCCGCCTCTCTGGAAAAAATCATCCGGCATTATGCTGTGTTATGTTTACGTGATTGCCGAAGTTATTATAAAAAAATAAATAAAAAAAATTGTAAAAAAAAGGAAAAACATATAATAAAATATGTTACTTCCGTAGTTATAAAATATATTAGTTTAGAGACAATAATAATATCAATTACAGTTCTTTAGATATTTATGAAATGTCAACAGAACGTTAAATTTGAAGAGTGTGAACTAAATCAATCTTCAATCATGAAGAGTATTTACCCAGAAGTAAACGTGGAAGACCTCTTCAGTCTGTTAGAAAATATTATTGTTATACTCCACAATGATGGTTATAGTTACTACTAAAAACAATTATATAACTAGTAATTGAACAAATACCTTTATGGAATAAAATGTCCTGTAAAATAATCCGTATAGAAAACTGAAAATAGTCGTAACTGCTATGCAAATGAATGCAAAATTGTGTGTTTTATGTAGAATATTTTTTTAGGTAGATAAGTGATATTTGGCTGTATCCTCGCTTGCATCTCGAAAACTTACTACTTGATGTTGGTACGAATATTTTACTTTATAAAATGTAATTTATTCATTCATAAATATAAATGACGTGTCCATTGTTTAGACTTTAGATCAAATACAATAACGTAATACTGGTGGATATAAATTAATTGCTTTGCAAATGAAATACATAGTTTCATTAAGCATGTAGCTTTATTATAATGTAATATTTATAAACAAATTATTCTGCTTTGCTGCAAAATATTCTGCAGTCGGTCAGCTCACACCGTGACGTGACGCTGACGAGAGCGTTTCAAAATGCAACTGTATTTTCTACACGAAAAGCTATAGTTTCACGGCAGCGTATGAGCTCTTCCAGTATCGTCACATAGCGTCTTACCTCAGTGTGAAATTGACCCTTATTGCTAAGCCTGTAATAACTCGTTTAGAAAGGCAAGTGTTTGTATCTAAACCAAAATACTGGCTGCAAGCTACGCCCTAGGTCAATGTTTCAAGACAATAATAATTATTAATATTGATGTTAGAAGCTACCTATATGTTATCAGATGTTGTATTGTCAATTAAATTAGGTAAATATTATGTATTAAACAATAGATATTTAAATGGACTTGTAGTTGCCAATTATTGTCCGTAATATATTTTAAAAGTCGGAACAATGTATGATGTTTATGAGTTTTAGATCAAATTTATTTTGACATTTTTTTTTGTTTAACCTATTCTAATAAATGTATGTTTTAATAAGGTAATTTTATTGAATTGACTCCTTTTCAGGTTTAGACCCTAATTCTGAATAAACTTCTGATTGCTATATTTCGTAGGGGTTTATACGCACTATGTGGGTAGCCGCATTACGACTAGCCGCGCGGCTGACCGCAGGATGCGGTTACCGTTGCGATTTACGGTCATGTCGATCCATTTCAAAGATGGACGTGGAAGAAGTTTCAGCTATTTACTAGATTTATACACGTTAAATAAAGAAGAAAAAACAAAGAAAGAAGTACTGGGTGCATCCTTATTTATTTTCAAACACCAGATGAGGGCAAGAATCGAATTCCATTGTACCAGACGTACCACGTGCACACACTCACTTAATGGCGGGCAGCCGCAGACTGAACCGCACAGTTGGTATAGCAACCGGCCGGCTGGCCGTCATTCGGTCCGCAACCTTCCGAGCGACCGGAGCGGTCTGCGGGTAGCCGCATCGCAGTGCGCATAGAAATGAATATTATGTACATAATTGTGCTTGCGGTCAGCCGCGCGGCTTACCACCCGGCTGACCGCAAGGTGCGGTTGCGAATGCGGGCGACCGCAACGTGCGGTTGATGAACCATTGCGATTGGCGGTCATGTCGATCCATTTCAAAGATGGACGCGAAAGAAGTTTTAGCTTTTTACTACATTTACACACGTTACATAAAGAAGAAAAAACAAAGAAAGAAGTACCTACTGGGTGCATCCTTATTTGCAAATACGAAATGAGAGCAAGCATTGAATTTCATTTTACCAGACGTACCGCGTGCACAAACTCAATGGCGGGCAGCCACAGACTGAATCGCACAGTGCGTATAGCAACCGTCCGGCTGGCCGTCACTCGGGCCGCAGCCCTCCGAGCGACCGGAGCGGTCTGCGGGTTGCCGCATCGCGGTGGGCATAGAAATGAACATTGCGTACATAATTGTGCCTGCGGTCAGCCGGACGGCTAGCCGCAATGCGGCTACCCGCATAGTGGGTATGAACCCTTACTCGCTATTTTTCGCTATTGATATCTTAGGGTTCATACGCACTATGCGGGAAGCCGTATTACGGCTAGCCGCTAGGCTGACCGCACGATGCGGTTGCGAATGTGGCCAGCCGGATCGCGGGCAACCGCAACGTGCGGTTGAAGAACGGTTGCGATTTCCGGTCATGTCGATCCATTTCAAAGATGAACGTAGAAGAAGTTTAAGCTATTTACTACATTTACACACGTTACATAAAGAAGAAAAAACAAAGAAAGAAATACTTACTGGGTGCATCCTTATTTCCAAACACGAGATGAGAGCAAGCATCGAATACCATTTTACCAGACGTACCATGTGCACACACTCACTCAATGGCGGGCAGCTGCAGACTGAACCGATACTTATTATACTCTTTGTGAACCGCACAGTGCGTATAGCAACCGTCCGGCTGGCCTTCACTCGGGCCGTGCGCATAGACCCTCCGAGCGACCGGAGCGGTCTGCGGACGCCGCATCGCAGTGCGCATAGAAATGAATATTACGTACATAATTGTACTTGCGGTGAGCCGGACGGTTATACTTATACCGCATAGTGCGTATGAACCCCTAAAGAAGTTACATGTCTACGCGTAGAGAACAGAGGCTACGGTGCGTAAAGCCACTTATCGTTTAGGCGAAGATTATTGCTGAACCGACTGTGAAGAAAGTACAGGCTGAAAGTGGGTGTAGTGGCAATCTGCGACAAGCACCAATTGCGTGACCACGAACGTGGTCCCACGTAAGGATTATTATGTGTTAACGGTGTATTGTCGTATTGATGTAAAACTTCTTCTCTATATGAGCGTTTACTAAATGATTCCTCAAATACTATTGGTTTATTTACTTTGGCTCGCACGTTATTTAAATAAGAATTTCTCTCTAAATATTGATTTATTATTCGATTATATCCATCAAAAAAACAATAATTTTGCGATTTTGGGTTATCTTTTTGAATCAAAATGTATGCACAAAAGGCTAGCTGTTAAATAAAATTTAACTATTACAAGCTGGCAACATCGAAATGTTAATGTCAAAATTGTGAACTGAACAGCGACGCCGTGTCGTCTTTGCTTGTTTTCTTTGCAATAATTTTACAGTTTGAGACCAAATTTTAAATAAATATCTTTCGATACCTGAGTATTTTTGTGACTAATACTATAAGTTAGTGCATCATCATGGCAACGATAGGTCCAAAGAAGGATGGAGGGCCTAATATCGAATTTTTTCAGTCACCGGAATCTCTAACACAATTTGACCAAATCCGCGTTTGGTTACAGAAAAATTGCAAGAAGGTAAAAGAAACGATCAAACTCCATGTAGTGTTATATTGTTATTCCTATTAGTTTGTTCATACGCTTATTGTTTACCACTTGGATAGTGCAGACAGCCCCAGTATGCAGTCACAATGTTGTGTGACCAGTACCGTCAAAACATGTAGGAATATTTCTTCCTCTTAGGTTTTGTCAGATTTACTACTCCTTACAAATTATTTATTAACTACTTGTACATACTGTTCATAATTAACTCCTACTATAATTTTGTAATGTTTGTTTTCTAGCATGTGCAGACAGATCCACCTACAAAAGAGGGTTTAGCCCAGTTAGTGATACAGCTCATTCAGTATCAAGAGAATAAATTAGGAAAAAATGCTTCTGATCCTCCATTTTTGAGGCTTCCGGTGAGTTTTGTGTTTCTTATTGTAAAACTTTCTTATTCACCACTTAGATTCCAGTGTATAATAAAATTATTATTATATATTTAGGTTATTTGTTTACTTTAAAAAAATAGTTATAATACGAGCCCTTTTGATAGTAACAGCTACTCATAGATTTAGTATTAAACATTGAGAAATGAGTGCTACACTAATAAAGTGAATAATTTAGTAAAATGTTATGATGGCCTAACATTGTGTAATGCTTGTTTGATATGTTATATTTAATATTTTCTCACTCATTCTATTTTTTATAAACATTGCCCCATACTAGGATTCTCTCCTGTGTCGAAGGTGCGTTTATAAACATACAATCTCACAAACACATGACACCCAGACCTGAGCCAACAATTTGTGGATTATATAAAGAGTTGCTCAGTGTGTGAATTAGCAAAAGAAAACCGCTACATGTTATGCGGCAGCAGGTTGCCTAGCTACCGTGCCAAATATGAAGTTAAAAAAGTCTATACTTCCTGTTATAATGTAGCTTAGTGCCCAATTACATTGTCTGTTTCAAGAAATGAAAGTACAATCATAGCTCTTGTATCGCATACACATTGTATCAAAATGTATAGGTCGATGACATCATATCAAATTCTTAGGATAAGAGAGAGGAGAGGTCAAAGGAATTAATTTTAGGAATATGCTCCAAATGAAATATAATGTTATGCTGTTTATTAGTTCAATGTTATGTTAAAATGTAAAATTAAGAACAGAGGCTACTATTTGTTGTTAATATTGACATACTTTCTCTCTTGATAATAGTATCATAATCACTAATATTATTATTTCGAAAGTGTGTGTCTGTATATGTGTCCGTTTTTCACAGTAATATTTTTTTTAAGTGTAGATTAAGAGGCATTAGGCCTCCTAGTACAAGAAGTATCTTGTCTTATCCCATTTCTCTATAATGGAAGGTGGAACTTTGTATTGAGCATTCTGCAATGTTCAAGGTTAAAAGCTAAAAATTGCGAAGCTGCGAGCGGATAGCTAGTAGTGAATACACAGGAGTCCACAATAGAGTTAGTATGTGACTACAATAAAATAAAAACAACACTTATATAAAAATGTAACTAGATATAATAACATTTTATTAACACTAAAAAGTTGCAGCATTAGCGAAAACAAATTGATTTTCAGGCAGTCCTTTAGCTCCAGTTCCTTCAATTGCAAATAGGGACCCTGCTTCAGGTTGTGCGTTCAGCTCCGCTTGAGACAGGCCCACCTTGCTAGTTGTCACAAAAAGTGTAGATAAGTCATGTCCTCCCCACATCACCGATGTTACTTTTGCAACTGGTAGCCTGTGCTGTTCTAAAAGTTTACCCGCTCTGGGGTCAATCTTTATTACCTGCATTAAAAATAAATTGTCTTTAACTTACTTAAAATAAAGTAATTTTCATGTTTAAATGTGCAAGTTTCCAGATAAATCGTAATTTATTTTATAGTACAAAAATTGTACGCAAAAATCAAAAATATTTTTTTTTATCTATGAAGATACAATAATGGGGTCACCCAGATCCATTTTATGGCAAAAACTATACACTGTAAACTATCTGATCAATCCCCAAAGCGGTCGCATTTGACCTAACTCCATTACAGATCTTATTTCCCATGTTAAGAGACTACTTTTGTATGAACAAATTTTGAGGATTTATATCAAGTGATTAATGAATACTCATTACTTATTACCTTCCATCCATTAAAGCAGGCAACCCATAGATTGCCATCAGTGTCAATTGTCATTCCATCTGGTACCCCTGACACGTTATTGGCTTGGTAACTGAAGAGTGTCCGTCTGTTGCCTGAAAATAAAAAATATGTCATTGTTAGCTAGTTATTAACTTTTAGTCTATTTTTGCTCCTCTATATTTGTGTAAATTGTGTTAAATCATCTTTTTTGATACCAATATGAATCAAAATCGATTTAGCAGAACAAGACGAGTTTAGTGGGTTTCATAGACTGTTCTGTATATTCTTTTTTCACATTATCATTTTGTGAGGACTGATGTGTCGACCACATTCTTTTATAGTATTAAGTTTGATTTTTATGAATAAGGACTTGACATTGGCTGTCAGATTCACACACAATTTCTTACTTTTTGTTTTATTACCTGTTAGTCTTCCAAACATGTTAAATTCAAAATAAAAAGACAAGAACCTTAATAGGTGGTTAGAACAACAAGTTCTTAAAATATTAGATATTATTTAAATATCCTACTATATTATTTCTGTACACTTACGGACGGATCCTTCTTCGAGATCAAAATCGAATACGTCTATGTTCCTAGTTGGAGAGTCGATGTAGAACATGAACTTTTTGTCGGCAGTCCACGCTATGCCGTTAGACACGGTGACGGGACGAACTTTATCCATCGGGTCGTCATAATTGTGCTCATCCATCAAATACAATGTCCCTTGGTCCATGTCGACGTTGTTATTCACTTCCTTGCCCATTGTACCTGGAAGTTAATAAAATATCGTTTTACGACTTTTATGCCACCTTTATTGAAGTGTTTTACGATAACTGTAATTTAAATGGTACTTTTCCTCAAAATATTATTATATATTTTCTGTTCCTCTTTCATAAGGGACACCAAAAACTCTTTAACTTGACATCATTGTGTTGAATAAAATATCAAGATTACATACCAAACCAAAGTCTTCCTTTAGCGTCGACTTTCCCGTCGTTGCACCTGTTGTTTGGCAGGCCCAGGTCCACAACGCTCAGTAGTCGTAGGGAACTGTCATTTTCGAATGAGTCCCATGGTAAGAAGTAAAGTTCGGACCTCACAGATATCAAAATTAGCTTCGGATAGTCCTTTACTGTTACAACTAGTGACACTGGTCCATATCCTGGAAAGTTTTTTTTTATTTTATAAATGTAAGTGAGTCAGACCTGGGTGATGAAGAAAATAATTGGAAGTTTTATCTATAGCCTCCATAGTCCATACTGATTATCTTCTATGTCGGTACAAAAATACGTAGCTGAGTGCTACATATTAAAAAAAACTTAAGCATTGATGTAACAGACAAAGAGTAATTGATAATTCTAATAAAGAAGAATATAGTTTTTTATGTTCTTCCGATCTGTTATCTAAATCGATTGGAGAAGAACTTACCGATAGTTTTAGAGGTGATATTAGATGTTTCAGCATCGAATCTATGAACCTGTTGGCCTTGTATGTCTACCCAATAGAGAGCATTTTCTGCAGTTGACCAATGAGGTCCCTCGAAATGTGTACCACCTCTCCGCACCTATGTTAATCATCAATTCATTATTAATTCTGTTCTAATATCAAAAGTAAAAAACATTAAATAAATATGACAATGTCATCGTCGTCATCAGCAGGAAGACATCTGCTGTTAAAACAATGGTCTTCGCTGAAAGGAAGCTAACATTTCCCAACCCCTCCGTTTAGCAGGGTTAAGCGATGCGGTCACAGAAATATAATGAAACCAAATCCTGGACAGTTTATTGAAATCAAGCGTCTATTAATACTTCAAATCTTATAAAGTTTTATCCTAATCAGAGATCGAACCTAACATTTTGTAGAACTACTAAACCAAAGAATCCTCTTCAGTATGATTTAATATAATAATTTTAATATCTTGTTACACTTAAATTCCTGAATCAATTACCTTAAATTCCTTAATTCCTCACGCCTTATATTGAAATTGGATTGGATCTTAATTGGATTACCGACTCGCTAAATTTACTATGGTACTTAGATACGAGCGCAGCATTTCAAAATTAAAAGTAAAGTGCGCTTGCATGATCTGTAGTAGTTTTGCAAGCTTAAACACCTACCTAGTTTTCTAATACTTATTGCATTTTGTATATTAAATACACATTTCAGGAAAATAAATTCACGATAATTTGGGCAATAAGACTGAAATTTTAAACAAATTATAAAATTAGTTCCTAAGTATTATATAAAACAATATTTTATTATGGTTTAAAAACAACAGCTTGATGATTAAGTACGGATGCATTTTTTCTGTGTATGACGTCGGTATATTTTTTATGAGACTGTTACGACAATGCGTATTCAAAGAAGGAAGCTCATTTGTTTACCAAATCAGTAGGATAATCTATTCATTATAGCAATTTTAATAAATCATACTGCAATTAAGTATTTATATTCCAAATAGGTCAGAACAACCTGATCTAAATCCGTGATGTATCTTCTTCTATTTTTATATCTGTATATCTATCTATATAAATAAAAATAAATTTCGTTCGTTAACTAGTCTCGCTAGAACTCGAAAACGGCTGGACTAATTTAGGTATTTTTGGTCTTAAATTATTTGTGAAAGTCCAGGGAAATTCTTTACACAAATATTTAGCAATAAGTCGCAGAGGATACAAAATATTTTTTGTTTTTATACAAGATTTACACTACATAGTTACATAGAATTATTGTCTACTGTGTATTATTGTCTAACTTACAAACGTATAAATTAATTTCTCATACACATTATAGCCAGCCTCGAAACAACAATTTGTGGATCGCAATCGTACTAAGAATTATTATTCCGTGCGGACATCCAGCGACACGTTTTTTTTACATTAATTATTTTTAAGGACATTTTTACAATTAGTCAAACTGTATAGAAGTTAGAACACAATATACTAATACGAATATAAAATCTGTACTACCTATAGGCCACGCAAGTCACTTACAGTAGAAAGCAATATTTTTTTCTTTTTTAATAATTACATAGCTATTACAACCGTTGTAACCACCTCACCAAAATGCGCTTCAATAGATAAAAGTAATTAAAAAAGTTTAATTTACATATAGAGCACTCTAAAATTGTTTATTTAGAAATTTAAAGAAAAACTTTGAATTACTTACATTTTTAATAAGCGGTGTCGTAGCTCTGTATGCGAAACAGTTAACAAATAATGTCGTGAGGATTAATTCTTTAATTATCATAGTGATTGTTTGTGGCTTGGTTCACTGTCACTGAGTACTGGTCCGCGACTGTCTCGCCCGGCATTCACTCGGCGTCTCATAGCCCCACCGTGTCACTACCGCCCCAACCGGTCATTGATGATCTTGAACAAGTGAATGCAGTGCCGTGCGTGTGTCTGTTAATCTGCACTTAAGTTTTTATGGTTAACTATTACATAACATTGTTATGACGAGTTTTTTTAATTGTTATGGTTAGGAAGTAAACATAGTATCGAAATAGAGGTAAAAAATCAAGGTATCGCCAAAGATAGAGACCGGTAAAAGTGTGTACACTATAGACAATGGTACCCAACGTTTGGTCCGAATTTCATCCGATGATAGGAATTTGACGCGGACACCGATCGTAGAAGTTCGCACTTTCATTTTCGGATGTCTCAAAAAGGCAATTAACCTATATTTTTCTGTAATTAAATTCTTTTTTTAAGATTGCCATGCTAGTGATATTGTTTGTTCGACTTTCTTTAGGGTTTCCCTCCGATTCACATAGTTAATTAGTTTAGGAAGGTCGTGGTCTGCAATGTTGTGTCACGGTTCGGGAGGCGCGGTTCCGCGGAAGTGTGACCTTAGACAAGGTAAAACTATTATGTGCCATCTTAGGGAATTTCTTCAGCTCTTTTTTATTTATAAACACTAATTTTGTGTACCATTTTTTACTTTACAAGGAGAGACAAGAACAATCTATTTGTATTATTAATTTAGTTTTAGAAG